GTCGTCATGTCTTGACCAACATTTCCTAGGATTTTGACAAAGTCGTACAAATTTTTCCAGAAAATGTTGTCGACGGAGGGGGAGGTAAAAAATATTTTCAGGACTAACATAAGCATAGTCAAAAAAAATTTCCGGACTAACATAAACATACTCAAAAAAATTTTTCCGGACTAACATAAGCATATTCTACATTTTTCGACTAAGATAAGCAAGGCTTCCAATTTTTTCAGCGCAAGCACAACAAAAGCTTTAAAATTGTTAAAATTGCGAACCATTTCATAACTTTGACCTACTTCGACCATCTTTTATCCCAAACTTATACAAAATTTTCCGAGTTTTACCTTCAATTTTAAGCAAATATCAGTTTCATTTTGACCAACTATGTGAAAATATGCTTGTGCCTTTTCCTTAAATATAAGGTAACATAATGTTACATGTGATTAACGACCGCTGACAAGAATTTTGAAGAAGATTGTGGACTGAATTTTTCAATATGACGGTCCTAGTTTGATTCACAATGCTGAAAAGTAAAACTAAATAAGTTGGACAGAAGAACACATTTTTCTTATGGAGGTTCAAGATTAAACTAGTGAGCACCTGTTTGGGATCTATGGCTGCATTTCTGTGCAAGTAAAAATATGTTCAGAGTTATTTCGAACCAAAAACCAAACCGTTGACTTTTAAAATTTATGGATTATCAGAAAAACCTTCATAGGGAAGATAGCGGTAAAAAATCCTTGGTATGCATGCTGGATTTTCATCATTGCTTAAAAAATGTGATCGCTTCAAAAAGCACCAATTTTAAATACATTTTGGAAAGTAATTAACATTAACCTATAGTGGAATAGTGAACTTTGACAACGCTTCATCCTCTATTGTTATCCAATTAATTGACTTAACAGGTGGTTAATGTTAGTCCCTATATATAACAAAAAATGTACTGCCTACTTCACACATACGTGTAATTAAAAAATCGTGCTTCTACAGTATAGACTTTAAACATAACAGTAAATATCGAAAATAAAGTACAGTGATCAATGCATGGGACACATATATAATTATTAGAATTGAGACTGGCAATACTAATAAGGATGATTACAATCAACCGCCTGTCAATTCCCTAAAAGCAAGATATCTCATCCCCGAGCCAACGGCGCGGAGCGCCGTGCGAGCGAGAGTCCTAATTTCGCCCAGCTATTTCCCGCCCGAGAAATGAAAGGAAAGCATTAGCGAAGTCAAACGTTCATCAATGATCGCTGGCGTGGGTGGTCATCTTCACTGATTTCAAAATACTGTATAGCGGACTGTCTTGAATAGCAAACACTGATTGGTCCAATTTAAAACTTGCATTATAGCAAACATTTCTTGATTTGATGACTTCTTGCAAATATATTTAATTTTTGTAAGATTTGTAAATTTCATAAGCTATGTGATAAAAAAGCGAAAGTCAGAATAGACCTTATGCATAATGACGTCACATGGCTTGATGCCCGCGAGGAATGCTGGTCTTGGTAGTTATCGCCCGGGAAAATTTCGATAGTGCATGGCCATTTGAATTGTTTAATCAGTCCCGGGCGATGACTACCAAGACCAGTATTCCTCGCGGGCCTCAAGCCTTGTGACGCCATTATGCATAATTATAAGGTATATTGCTATAGAAGGGAGCAATGACGCCGAAGGTAAGTTTTATTAAAATATTGATGTATTGTTTGCTTTATATTAGCCAATTGCTTTAAAAGCTGATTGTTGTTAAATCAGAAAAGAGAGCATAAAATTATAATGTCAGTGCATCTTTACCGTACTTATTACCCTTTTTAATATATTAATTTTTTTAAATAAAAAAGAGCGCAAACTTATTTACATGCGATAATTTGAAATCCTTTTATTCCAAACTCAAAGTTTATCGATAAAGGCAGCTTAGTAGCGTTTGTAGTTGAATTTTATATTAAATTTAAGCTTACATTACGTATAATAACCAACATGTGCTTCACCTTTGAATTTTTTACAGAACCTGGACGAGAACCAGGGCTACAAAACGACAGCACGAGAACCAGGGCTACAAAACGACAGCACGAGTACCAGGGCTACAAAACGACAGCACGAGAACCAGGGCTACAAAAGTGTGTGAGATGGATGAGTGTTATAAAAAAGGGATAAGGAAAAATTTCGGACCTTATCTCTAATAGTACTCAAGTTCGCATAAGCCTTAAGGACTTAAGCTCTTCTCATACATCTCAACGAAGTGAGACGTTGCACGAGAGTCGATGATATAGTTGACAGGTCAAAGCACGAGCGAGAGTTGCGCAACTAGCATCAAATCTCATCAGGTCAGCATCTCTCGTCAAATTCTATCCCCCATTTGATTGGGCTCATTGGAAATTTTCTCTGTGCTTTACACTTTATACCAACTACTATCCTCGTTTGAACATTATTGTATATATATATATATATATATATATATATATATATATATATATATATATATATATATATATATATATATATATATATATATATATATATATAACGCGTATATACGTCTACGTACCTTCGCTATATTCTTCGTCAATTGAAATTGCAAAAGTTAGCACTATAATCGTTTTTTTAGAACTATAGTAGTTTTTTTGTATGATGCAAAACTAAAATGCAGAAAACCTCATGTTAAAAGTATATTTAGGACTTCGATTCTTCAACGAAACGTGCACGGTGGGTCTTGATGCACACAAATGTATTACTAATTTACATTTCTTTGATCTTACACTGTGACTTTTTCTGCATGGCTCCTTAATTTGACGTTGCGGTACTTAGTTTTACATAGGTGCATGCGATTGACACGTGTGAACATAATCATGTCGGTTATAATATTAAAGTGCTTACAGATTTCCCCTTGTCATTTTATTTTTATGTGTAATAGAAACCGGTAAAAAAGGACTGCAGTGGGTTATGAATCACCAGCACCAATTGTATAAGCACCCATAAGTGCGATTGGAAGAACCACGTAGGACTAACAAATAAGCCTGTTCAGTTTTTAATGTTATTTTAGCTGAAGAAAAAGTATGTTCTAATAGCGAGATAACTTTTGGCCCAAATTTGTTGTATGCAAACCTTGGATTTCAAAAGAGAAATTACATCTGAAAAAGAACAATTTCGGGAACTATGAACAACACGAGCAACAAAAATATGTTAAATTGCTGTTTAATGAATGCAAGATAAAAATGTGTAAAATGTGTAAAAAGTTAATTAATTGAGTTTCAGACTCTGGTTAATCCTGATGATAACTCCCGTCTATATATCCTTGGTGATTTTAATTTCCCTTATATTAACTGGGGTACAGTTTCTGATACACAAGACTCTGGAAGTGCAAATCATTTTTGTGATTTGGTAAACAACTACTTTTTAACCCAAGTAGTGGATGCACCAACTAGATATTCTGGTCAACAAAATAACGTGGGTTCTATTCTGGATTTAATTTTATGCAATTTCCCTAATAATGTATCAGAACTGAAAATTGAGTCGGATACTTTTTAGTCCGATCATTTGGTTGTTAATTTTTGCATTGAAGCTAAGGGAGCGGTCATAAAGTAAGTGCTTCCGGGGCGGAAGATATTTTTAATTTCGTGAACAAAATTTCATTCCCCCCCCCCAATTTTCGGATAATAATTGGTACCCCATCAAGATAATTGTCTCAATGTTTCATACCCCATCATACAACGACAAGTTTATGGCGTTTGATAGCTAGAGTACCACATGACAACCTTCTCCACAAACTCCATGCTATTGGGTTTGGGGATCCATTACTGTCATCAGAGACGCCGGAACGATGTGAAGGCAAGGGGGCAGATTTTCGTGAAAGGGCACTTTTGAATTGATATATACTAAGATGTTTGCAAAACAATGGGAGTTGAACTTCATCTAATAATGTTTTCTACTTATTGGATGATAGGGGTGTGAGGGGGTTCTCCGCCAGGCGATTGTGCTATTCTTGAAACTCGATGACTGCATTTCTTGCGTTTTCTGAAGCAAATTCGTAAAAAATTTCCACTAACATTTCTGACAATTCGCTATTTCGCCAAGGGCACCTTTGCCCCCATTGCCCCTCCTGGTAAAGTGCAACGGGGGCAGCTGCCCTTCCTGCCCACCCAGTTCCAGCGTCCCTGACTGTCATAGTTCCGCAGTTACCTTTCAGACAGACGTCACGGTGTTGTCCTTGATGGTCATACTTCAGAGTGGCTTCAAATTACATCAGGAGTGGCCCAGGGATCGGTCTTTGGACCGCTCCTTTTTGTAATATATATATATATATATAGCTCACTTCCCTTGTGGTCGTTTGAGCACTCTGACCCCATTACGCTCTGCGCATGTCTGGATGCGTTGAGCGCCGTGTTGTACCACATGCCTTGGTGAGAGCAAGTTCATGGGGTATAAATACGAGTGTCTCACGTATCTAGACGTGTACCAAGCTGCACTGACGAGGCGTTGAACGCCGAAACATGCATGTCTGCAGATTGTACTATATATATATATATATATATATATATATATATATATATATATATATATATATATATATATATATATATATATTAAACGATATGCCACACGCTTGGCATAAAATGTTGTGAAATCGGCCAAACTGCCGATCATGAAGTTCAGCGGTCTTGC